AGATATAACCGGTCTCCAACAATGCTTGCACTGTCGACTGGCGATTTTGCGCAAATGATTGCGTATTTAAATGCACTGTGGAAAGGATTTCCAGAATCCTTTTTGTTTATTTTCCTTTACGATAGCCGTCGGACATATGCATTCATCCATTCGGAGGGGGGAGGGAATTACTAATTGTTTCCCCAATTCACCGATTGAATTGCGGCAAAGCACATCAGCGCTATTTGCCTAAAGGAAGGGACGCCTTTCAAGAAATTTCTAAGTAGAACTGGCTCGTATTCACATTACACATGAGCAAAACTATGAAAACTCCCATGCAGCCATCCCATTTGCCAGAACTTGAATCCGCAAAGGGGGCTCAAATTTTGGAATTCGCCGTCTAGGAAACATAGTACATTATCGCCGCCTAGGAAACATAGTACATTATCGCCGTCTAGGAAACATAATACATTATCGCCGTCTAGGAAACATAGTACATTAATCGCCGTCTAGGAAACATAGTACATTATCGCTGTCTAGGAAACATAGTACACTATCGCCGTCTTGCATTACTTTCATCAGCACAGGATCGTACAGTTGGAATAACAATGCAAAAATGACCACAACACAGAAATCAGATAAACAATAACAACGCAAAATTTCTAACAGCAAGAAATGTTTTGAAAGAGTGCGTGGCTGTAGGTATGGAAAACTTTCTTACGGTTTATTTAAGCTGAAGAGTAAGGAAGGAGGGTTGTTTAGTTACATTAGAAATTAAATACAGTTGCTATCCTTACTATACAATAAAAAGTATAAATTGATATCCGTACGTCAATGCTAGTCGTCGATACGAAAATTCTCAAGGATGGAATAGTACATTATGTGTGCCACTCTGCACCAAGGTGAGCATGAATTACTTACCTGGCGGGCTTCTTTAATTTTTTTATTCTTCAACTGGCAGCGGAACTAGTTTTAGATACTCAGTTTGAAGACATGCGACAGAATTTTCCATCTCCAGTAGATTTCTGCGCACATACTGGTCATGTACCACTCATCTGCGAACCTTCGGAACCCTGCTCCCTGTGGATATTCGATATTTTTCCGGGAGGGTATCAAATATCGTAACAGATTGTTATATTATGATTAAGAGGATGACACAAATTATAGATAATAAAACATTAAATTGCGAATACAATAGACCATGTGACATCTTCTTACAATGGCAGCGCAGATGAATATTTATTAATTGAATTGCATTGTCAAAAGTATAAACTATTATCTTTATAAATTTATCAGAGATGCTTCCCACCCTTTTATTCTTCGTGATATAAAATTGTAGATGAATTTCGTAAAGAGAATTATTTAATCCCTTTTAAATAAGAGTTTATTTTATAGCAGCGTTTCTTAAACTGTGGGTCGTGATCCCCCTGGGGGTCGCCAAAAATTTTAGCAGTTTTGATATTTCTTTAACTTATTAGAATAATTTTACAATTACCAAGTATTTTTACACATATCTGAAAATAGATAAAATCAATACAAACAAAGAAAAAACGAAAACGTTTCGATTTATTCTTTTTATAACAGAGACGTTCATTTTACATGCTTTTCACACGACGCTGTCATTTCGTTTGTTACTTTTTTAAAATTTTCAGATTGTTTATGTATCTTAAAATTAGAAAATAAAGTTAATGATCTAAACTGAAATAGTATATTACAGCACAAGTGAAAAAATTGACAGTTTCACTCACGCGTGTGTTGGATTTGCGCAACGCTTTTGGGGTCCTACAAAATTTTCGCAAATATTATGAGGTCTAGGGGTCGCGAAAAAAATCTTAATGATGAAAAGGTGTCAAGACTAAAAAAAGTTTAAGAAGCCCTGTTTTATACGAAGACTTTTTAATCTTATTTTATTGGGAGATATTTTTTAATCATTCTGCATAATCTTTATCGTGGGCACTGTTCCTAGCATACGTAAAATAAACAAAGCATTTATTATATGTATGATTTAAACAAACACACTGAACAGCAGGAAAAGGCATCTTCCCACATTCTAACGTTCAAATTAGAGCCTGATTATAGTTTGGGCCCACAAGGCCGGAGGGCAAAATTCCGGATTTTTTGACGTCCACAAACTGACTTATCACTCATAATCTCGCTTTTTTTCAACTGATACACATAGGATACAACTGATATGAAGAAGTGCTAGATGATCTTAATCAGTATTTGTCCAAGGCGGCCGAGTGGAAAAAATAAAAGAACGGGGAACAGTTTCAAAATAGAAACATCTCAAAGAATATTTTTAAGCTAAGTTCAAAATGACAAAGTTTTGCAAAATTATTTTCTATTGTTATTTATTTAAACTTTTGTGTAAGATGAAAATTCATATTTAAAATATAAGAACAGCAGATATTTTTACTCTTCGCTAGATAAAAAAAAAAAAAAAAAAAAAAAAAAGAAAAAAAAGAAGAAGAGGAAGAAGAGACGTCTATCTTCTCTATAAAGTATCAGTTGCATAGTAAATAGTATGGTACAAAAATGCGAGCTAATATAATTTTCATATAACGTTATATTCTTTCTCATCCAAATTTATTAGAGATACGGCCAATATAAATTTCGTAGGATAATTGTGGTTCTGCTTTAAGGAACTACAAATATTAGATTCACTGTGACCATAACCCATACGGATATTAGAACAATTCGGATATTGCCTTTGTTCTTGTGAGTCAAGTACACATTTTTTGTAAAGGAAGTCAGATAATTTTTATTTATATTATTTTTTTTTTTGGCTATCTATTTTCTCAAAAACACAATTAAATAAACATATTTCCATAAACCTGAATGAAAAATACAATTTTTCCACTAAATTAAAAAAAAAAAAAAAAAAAAAAAAATCGAAATAAAATACTGAAATTTGTAGCTTTTTGTAAAAATATGTTCTGTACAGCATTATTTTTATATATTTAAGTCCCCCCCGAAAAAAAAGATAAAACATATTAATAAAAAAACGAGAGACTTTTATTTTATTTGACTCTAAATGAAGAAGCAGCATTCCGAATAAATGAAGTTCCAGATACGTGAAATCAAGATATTTGGAGTTCTGCTGCTTTTCAGTTTACCTAACTATCAAAATAACGATTTTTTCCCCTCGACATTTTGATTAATACTATTTTAGTGATTACTACACGCAATTTTCTGCGAATTATATGGAAAATGTAAACAAAAAACTTTTGCTAAAAAACAACGTTTTTCAGTACCAAAACAAAATCAATCATTTTCATTATATACTCATCCTTTCCTTACCATTCCAGACAAACTTATTCACAAAAGGAAATAATGAAATACAGAAATTTCTTTCTCACATTTTTTAAAACGACTCTTTTAAAGTTTCGCTTCAGGAAATCTAGAGATGGTCCTATACGCGTAATGAAAAAGATTTAAGGGAATTCGGTACCCCGAAATCAATGAAATTACCGATTTTTTGTTGGAAAAGTACCTTAATACCTTACTACACTGAAGAAATTTAAAAGAAACTAATAAAGATAAAAGGATTTAAAATTTTGACATCCCTTTAAAGCCCACACCCCCGCATGCTCTTTTTTTTTTTTTTTTTTTACTTCTTAATTTTTTTCAGTAACTTACTAAAAATCAGTGAAATGCAAAAAAGAGTGTAATTAATTATGACTCCAACTATCCAAAAACTCTGTTGATGTGTATATACTGATTTATTGAAATGCAAATTAAAAGTTAAAAAAATTTTTTCACTTAAACTGGCAAGTTATATATTTATTTATACTGAGCTCAGCAAAAAATTTTATGTTATATCAGTCAACTCGCTATGCTTTATTCAAAAATGGAAATATCTGTGATTAGACACACGAAAGAGTGGTGTAATGAAGGATCAATTTCTGACTGTAGCATTATTGAAATAGGCTGGAACAAACATTAAACTCTTTTTAATTAATTAAAAACGCACATAAATTATTTAAAATGCAATTTAATAATAATAAAATGGCTAGAGAAGAAATCACATAAGCTGCTCAGTAGTTTTAAATAAAATGTTTTTTATGTCCTGTTAAATTTCAAACTTTGTTTTTTTTTTAATTAATTGGTCTTTTATTTTATTTTTATATTAAACAAATTAAAGAAAAACAAATGATTATAATTCAATATATTAAAATTAACATTGTTTTGAGCGTGTTTAAAAAAAACACAGGTAACGAAAATTTCTACTTGCATTTTATGATTTTTTGGCAATTTTTGGCAATATTCTAGCCATAAGGTTTTAGACAAAGCTTGTAATTTATGTTCATATTAATCAATTGAGCAGTACTAAATTTTATTTTACATATATATGTATTGAAATTCAGTAATAAAATTTTAAGAAATTTGAAAATGATTTATGACTATTCTACATACATTTTTAACTGCGTTTGTCCGTTTGCAATTTTTCGATATATCCTTTTACTTAAAAATTCTAAAACTGTAGATACGACCAAACTATTGTATTTGCTGCTTATTAAAATAATTACTACATATAAATCAGGATGGGTTTTTGGAAAAAATAGAAAAAAGAAAAAATAATCAGTGAAAATGCCACTAATATTTTTAGGTTTTAATCTAAAAAATGGGTTTTTATTTTTTTTTCAGAACTCATTTTTATTTGCAAACCATTCGTAAAGTTACAAAACCATAAAAAATGAAGCAAAAAATATTGAAAAGGTGGAAGAAGAAATTTTAATTGTGATTTTTTTTAAATAAAATTCAAATTAAATAGCAAAAAAAAACTTTTTTTCAACCATTTTAAAAAAACCATTTTGTCTCATAACCACTTAATATTATTCATAAAAAGTGGATGAAAGTTCTTAATTAAAAAAATCATCCAAAAGATACCGAGTCCGCTTAATGCCGCAAGAGAGGAAAAGCCGAAAAAGGAGTGGCAATTAGAAGTTAAGCGATTCAACAATGTTTTTTGTTGAGTTTTTAATTAACTAAGACAGTAATTTTTTGAAATATTAAAATACCTGGATGGCTGTTCTGATGTTATTTTCGTTAACTCTGAAAATGCTCCTTTCTCGCTTTAAAACATTTTCGTACAGACGTACTAAGTCTTCCGACTCCATGCCTGAACGGGGAACTGCATACACATCAATGATTACAGAGCGCCATGAGTGTCGCCAAACCTATAATCTTTATCGCCAACATAACAGGAATCTGACCTTCGCAGCGATTGAGAACAAACATGTTTCATCCCTGTCTCTATCTCTCATAATCGTACAAGGAAACATTTTGATGCTGCTGAAGGTTTGCGAGTAAATCATTAGTCTGAGAATACGAGAAAAATACAATGGAAAACATAAAACCTGGACATACGCATTAAGTTTTTGAACTTTCAAATATTTTACTTGTCTTTCATTTGCATTAGAATATGGTAATGCCGGCTACTGAATAAATAAATTAATTATCACATTTTAGCATGATATAGTTTTCAAAACCTAATTTTGCAATGTGTATATAATTTTATGATAAAGTGTAATAAATAGCTATTATTGTAAAATAATTATTATCATAATTACTTGATTATTATATTTTCTTGCATAATTTTAATTATTATATTATCATTACAATGAAATCGAATATGATAAATATTATAATAATTATAATAGCTTTACAATAAAAATATTATTATAATTATACTGTAATTAATATTATAGCTTATTTTGAGTTAAAACATATGCACATTAAAACCACTGAAACAAAATTTCGTTATAATTTTAACTATATTAGTTTTACAATTATAATGAATATTTACAGTTATTTAATTAATTATAATAATTTTATAATAAGTAATTGTTATTTTTTTATTTTTCAGCTAAAATCTATGTACATTATTAAACATATTTAGATATGGGCGAAAAATTCTATTTTAGAAAAAGAGAGCGAAAAGAATTCTTGCATAAAATATCATAATATTGGCACAATAAATCAACTGCGATCAAGGAAAATTCCGCTCATATAGAGCTGAAACTTGTTGACAATTTTTTTTTTTTTTTTTTTTAACTACAGAAAGAATACTTTGGCTAGCAAACATAGCTTCATTACTTTTAGTCATCTTATTTTTTAAAGTAAAACAATGAAATATGCACTATTCAAGGAAACTTCATATGTTATGAAAAAATAAAAATTTCAACATTTCTGGTTTTTAGGGTTGCAAATCGATTCGGTTATTCCTGCGAATAGGAAACAAAGGGCTGAAAGACAACTGACGACAGGATTACTCGATGACACGGGAATTCTTCGGTAATAAATTCCCTCTTTCCGGCGAAGAGAGAATTTTTCTGTGCATTAAAATTATGATTAAAACAAAACGGTACTAATTTCAGTTTTCGTATATTACTTTTAAGAAGTATACTTTTCGTTTATTTTACATAAAAGTCATGGTGATGCGCTGACAGCGATGGAATGGGGCTGTTTCGAGCTGGTGAGTAACTAACGAGGAAACTACAAATTGGGAGAAGTCAAATTTCTGTCGAGCCAACTCGAGCTATTCTGAGAAGCTGAACTAGTTAGTCGTGGAAGTTACAGCATAGCGACGGGAGGAGAATATATGTTATCTAAATACAAACAAACTGTTTGATAAAATTTGCAGATGGAAGGTGCAGGCAATGCAAAAATAATGAAAATAAACATATTTACAAAATACGTAAAAAGTAGTATATGCAATGTCCATATTTGTGAGATGTGTGCTTGGGACATGTATTGGCAAGTTTTGATTTTTTAAGACAGGTTTGCATTTACTTAAATGTAAAAAGCAATGTGATGGGCTATTGTCTGCATTCATTTTATACATTCACGACATTTCTAACCTTTATAGAATTTTAATATTTTTGCATAATGCGTTCATGAAAATAACAAAATAAGTGAAAATTATATATATAATATATATTTACGTACACAGAATGTAACACAAGAAAATAAGTCCACAGGATTTGGCACGATGGTTAGTTAGAAGACTCTTGTTGATTCCAAACATATATACTTTGTCTCGGCTAAACATCCCAGAATAGCTATGCAGTGTAACCCCACGAACAGTTCAGTTGTACTGCTCATCCAGTACAGGTGACAGGTGAATGCAGGGCCCGGACACCCGGACGGCTTAATATGACAAATTGGGTGTCGTCCGGCACCCACACCTATTTAGAACAACACAACCCTGGCGACTTCCTGAGAGGGCTGCATCGGGAATATATTAATGGAGAATATGAGGTATTGACGTGGCAAACAAGGGCATGTGCATATATATGCTTCAGTATACAATTAATAAAAAGTTTCATACACAGGTACATTGGTGGTATAGGTACATTGGATACATATGTATATTGGTCTAACTAGGAGTCGAGAGTCGACGGCGATGAAGCACTGTAGAGGCGGCCACTCATCAAGCTAGTTCTACCTCGATGGTGGTGGTAGAGACGAACATGCAGGCCGTCGATCCATCTCGCCCTGCTCTCCAACACATCTGGGTTTCGTGCCCCGTCTGCCTTTAATAAAAGGGCGTGTTAAAAAAGAAATCGAAATTTTGTTATAACATCTTCAATGCTTATTGTACAACAGTTTAAAAACTGTCTCCTTGAAAATATTCCCCTCTACTGGCAATACAACGTTGCCATTGTTTCTTTCACCTTTGTAAAGCCTGCTGCAACGCACTTTCTGCGATGGCGTGCAGGTCTCTTTTCGAATTGACATGAATCTTCTCTATAGTTTGAAAACGAGGTCCTTTCAATTTGGATTTTAGTCTGAGGAACAGGAAAATGTTTGCTGGGGCTAGGTCCAGAGAACACGGTGGATGGGGCACAACTAGAGTGTGATGTTTTGCTAGATAGGCTAAGGACAAAGAGCGAGGGTTGAGGCGGCGGATTGTCTTGATGCAACATCCAAGTCCATAATTCGGGACTCTTCCTGCGCACAGCATCATTCAAACGCTCTAGAATTCCCTGGTACATTTCCTTGTTTACAATATGACCATGTAGCATAAATTCCTGATGCACAATGACTTTGCAGTCAAAAACACAGCAAACATCACTTTGATCTTTCATCGACTCATCCGTGCTTTTTTTGGATGAGTAAGAAAAGTACACTTACTGCGAAGACTGCACGTTCGTTTCAATACCATAGCCATAAACCTACGTCTCATCGCTTGTTATGATGTTATTTAAAACGTTTTCGTTGTCATTATCAGTGCCAAGGAGTTCCTGGCTGATTTCAAAACGAGTCTGTTTCTAATCGTCAGTCAGCAACCGCGGCACAAATTTTGCATTGACACGACGCATCTCAAGTTTGTCACTCAAAATTTGATGTCATGGTCCTACACTGATGCTCACTTCGTCAGCAACTTCTCGAACAGTTAAATGACGATTTTCAACGAATCACAGCATGATTCCTGTCGACATGATCATCATCTGTTGACATGGAATGTCGCCCAAGCTTGGGATCGGCACCGACTGACATTCAGCTGAGTTCGAAACGCTTAAACTACTCGTGGCACTACGTGAGATTCATACAATCCTTCTCATATGCTTGAGGAAGTAACTGAAATGTCTCTATGAAAGCTTTGCCAAGTCTGTAGCAAAATGTCACACACACACACGTTGTTCTTCGAGCTCTTTTCATTGTCACTGATCGGACGAATGATTTGTGCTTGTTTTCATAAAACCCAATATTAGACAAAGAATATGAATAAAAGTTTTGAAAAAAGTGGTTTATTAGGTTTATGTTTTATTTATTTATTTATTTGTATTTTTATCATTTTTAATTTTACAAATATAAACAAGGTTTCAGAAACAAAATCACAGATTCTAACTACATCAAAGATCCATTTTAATCATTATGATGCCTGCGCTGGAAGAACTGATGCAATTTTTTAAAATATTTGACTTAAAATTGTTTGATTGAATTCTTATGTCACCTCGTTCAAAAACATTCAGTCTGTTTCTTGCTTTTCATAGTAAATTATTGACTTCATAAAATCTTGTTTCTACTCGATGAGAAAAGGGAAAGTCAATAATATTGATTCGATTACAACTTTTATTGCAAAATATTTTTTTCGGATGACTTTTAATTACAAAACTTAGCGTATTCGTGTGTTTTGAATAACACTTGCTCTTGAGAATCCTTTTCGCAGTTGAGAATCGCAGTTCAGCAGTTCTGTGAACCATGCTAGGCACATTAAAATTTTTATTGTCTTGGAAGCAAATATTATGACTTTCTTCTGAATTTTGAAAAGGCTTGTATATAACCTTATATCTTATGAGAAAATACAATCCTTTTCAATAACTGACAGTCGTATTACGTAAGTTATTAAAGTAATGGATTTCTTTTCGATTGAATGTCGGTATAAACAAGTCAATTTTAGAACGAAAACCGAAGATAATCATACTAACTTCATTGAGATTGATATCTCTTCCTTGCAGTTTTTGTTAGCACTGAAACAATGAATATACATATATTAATCAAGTAACATATCCACTTTTTGAACTTCATTAATTGTGTCACCAAAGGGTTGTAAAATTCAAGGAAATTTCTATTACACTGTTAAAAATATCAGCTAGCGAATCCTTGTTCATCATTCAAAATTTCATCAAAATTTCAAAATTTCATCGACCCCCCCCCAAGATGTCAGTATCGATCCCGTTGGGAATCCCTGTCCAGGCACTTCTAGTGTCTTCGAGACGGTGTTGGTTTAGTGCGGAAGAAACCTCATTGCAGGAATTGTTTACTGAAACGGCATTTGGGCAACAGTTGCACAGTATCTTCTTCAGTTAGACGATGAAATCATGAAATTTTCCATGCACATTATTCGTATCCAGAACTCAGGGATTACATAAAGTGTCATACGGACAGAATGAATCGAATCATCTTAATCTATCCCATTAGCCGGGAATATGCTTGTGCACAGTATGGTTGCACAAAAAGGCTACCTGCCGCCTAACCGCTATAGTGGTTAGTGTCGCTGACTGCCGTGCCGAAGGCCCCGGGTTCGAATTCCGGAGAAGGCATGGATGTTTGTAAATGTATAGTGTCCGTGCGCCATGGGGCACTCTAAATATGCGGTGAGCCGAAAATCCTCTCGAAAGGTTGGTGGTAGGGGAAGAAGGGTGGTAGACCCTCAGACCC